CCACACACTATCCATAACTTATCATCTCATCGACTTTAAGAGAAACCAACCAATTGACATCATGCCACAAGCGAATGACCTCCAAGCAAATCTCATCTGCAATGGGACACCTCTAGCTGAGTATCCCGTTCCTTCGGCAGCACCAAACACTGTCTTCTGCGAATCCACACCGGGCCAGACGTTCCATGTCAAGCTCTCGGGATCAAGGGCTCTTTTTGATCGCGTAGTATATCTATACTGTGACGGTGTCTTGATGGATAGCTATGCCATCCATCGTCATCAACTTCCAGCAATAACCTTTCATGGTATTTATTTACAAAACGATTTCACTAAAATAATGCCATTCAAGTTTTCGAAAATCGAGCTTTGCGAAGAAGATAATAGTCATCCAGAGGATATCATTAAAAACTTAGGAACTGTATCTCTAGAATTAGTTCATTGTACCTTGGGTCATACTCTACCATGTTATCAGTCCTTTGTTCCTTCCATCGCATCAAAAGATAAATTTTCTGAAAGAAACAAAAAAGCCAGTATGATTCCACATACCGTCGGGTAAGTGTTTTTGATGATGCTTTTGATTCAAACCATCAATTATCCCTCTTTGACCAATTTGAGCTTGCTGACTCGAATCTTTATTGTAGCCTTGGGGAGTCGACTTTCGCACCTGTACCGCGAGCGACAAGCTCAGTCCATCTTGTGCAAAGGGATCCCATGCCCTATCAGCGATTTGTTTGGCAGTATAGGTCTCGAAGTAAGCTTTGATCACAGCACCGGCTCCCTTTCGTTATGCTCATTAATTCAAGTTGAAACTGACTGTCATTAACTGTTGTTGATATTATAGACATGTTGATCACCGCGGGTGTCATTCCTCGGCCCGTGACCCTACTACCAGATATTCGCTTACCAACTCCTTCATCCACGCGCCAAAATAACGTACCCGGAGCACGTAGTCTCAGTGGAAGTGGTCATATGACACCTGGGCCTTTATCCAACAGAACTAACCGGGAATCAAAGCCTGACACCAAGCCCAAGACAAACGGTCACAAAGTAGTGGTGATCGATCTGTGTGATGACGAGGATCGACCAATTGTAAAATCAATCGTTATCCATTCCAGTCCCAAGAAGACTATTTGCCTTGATGACGATGAGGACGATCAAATAATTCAGCCATCCAATAACGCCCAAGCTAGTGGTAGTTCAGCTCAGCAAGTTGACATCAAACCTGTGAAGAATGAGTTGAACAGTCAAAACATCACAGCACCTGATGGACCTCAAACAAAACGAGCCCAGGATGAGAGGGAAGTTGAAGGACATGATCGAAAGCGTGTGAAGGCTGAAATGACATCTATCTCTCTGAATGTTTGACCTATGTAAGTATTGAAACCTTTTTGTTAACTATCTGGACCTTTGAACTTAAACTCTCCTTGATCTTCTTGCAATAGCTCTCATTAGACATACTCAATTGTAACACCATTCTCTCTTACACAACCAAATCTTTCTCAAAAACTGTTCCAAACTAAGAACTCTTACTGGTGCAACTACAATCCCAAGAAATTTAAACCTTTCAAAAAATAATCATCCTCATATGCACCATCACTTTTTGCTTGATTTGTAATATCAAATAACGCGTCAGATCTTTTTTTGAAGTCATACTACTTTTTCTTTGATCATGTTTTCCCTTATTTTCTTGTAAGAAATCAAATTCTCTTATAAAGTTTTTGTCTATGAAATATTATGATTTGGGAGAAATTATGAATTTTCACAATTTGAAGATTTTTGTTGAAATGAACACATTTTTGTCTCGTGCTATCTTCAAGTTCAAAAATATTTCTTGAGCCGCTCCTTGATTTGAAGTTTTTTGGGGGGTGGTCTTAGGTCCAACTTCGTCAAGGGGAATTGTCTCTGGTAGGCGACGACTATTCCAAGAATTTGTCTAATAAAAAAATAGAAGCCACCTTAAGTTATGAACGCCTCACCTACAGGTCAATTGTATCTTTATCAACCGTTCACAACGACCTTTTGAGAGCATCTACAAGTTATCATCCCATCGAATCTTCCGAAGAAAAGCCAAAGCTACCCAAGTCTCATCATGCCACAGGCGAACGGTATTGAAGCGAATCTCATTTGCGATGGAAGCCCTTTGACTGAGTACCCCAGCGGCGATTTCGCGCCCAACACTGTCTTTTGTCAGTCAACCCCAGGCCAAACATTCGAGGTCAAGGTCTCAGGACCAGAGGCGTGTAGCGATCGTACGGTAAGGCTCTACTGTGACGGAGTCTTCATGGATGGTTATGTATTCCTTCGCGGTTGCCGTGTTGACGTAACTTTTCACGGTATCTATCTGCCGAACGATGGTACAAGATTGATGCCCTTCAAGTTTACAAACATCGAGCTCTCTGGTGAGATTTTGCTTGTGTATTGCCCCTTTGAGATCTTAACTGACTTGTCATACACTTTTATGCCCTACAATTGGATTCTCAATCGCAAATGTTGTCATACATAGAGGAAGATGACAGTCACTCCGATCGAATCTTTGAAAACCTCGGCACTGTGTCTGTAGAATTGACACATTGTATCATGGGTTCATCCGAACAAATACCTGAAAAGACTCCTATTCCATGCGTTGCATCAAGCAAGAAAATTTCTGAAAGGAACAAAAAAGCAAGTATGATCCCACATACCATCAGGTCAGCTCCCCTAATCAGGATTATCATTCAAAAATTGTGAACTAAAATCATGATCATCATAGTCTTGGGGCATCGATCATTGCCCCAGAACCGGATACGACAGCATATAGTTTCTATCTTCAGAGAGATCCAACACCTCATCTGCGCTTTGTGTGGCAGTACAGGTCTCGTGGTAGGTTTGAGTAACTGGATAACTCTGACTGGCTTGTTTATCTCTCTTAATTAAAGTGTTCAAACTGACGATGTGTGTCTAACTTCGATATCCAGACTTGTTGATCGCAGATGGTCACATTCCTCGCCCTGCAAACCCTATCCCAGACATACTGTTATTAACTACACCTCCCATCACGCGCCAACGTGATGAACCGAGACCAGCGGACGGACAAGGACTTGGTAGCAGCAAAAGTCGTGAACCCGCACTGCCACCTGGACGCTCCTCCAATGTTCATTTGAACACTCTGCCAGGTATCCAGCCAAACACCAGCGGTACCGAGCCAGTGATGATCGAATCCAATAGTCATACGGAAAATAAGCCTGACATCAAGCCAAAGACCAGCCGTACCGTGCCAGTGATGATCGAATCCAATAGTCATACGGAAAATAAGCCTGACATCAAGCCAAAGACCAGCCGTACCGAGCCAGTGGTGATTGATCTGTGCGATGACAATCCAATCACCATATTCTTTTCTAGTACTTATGATAACCCCATCCTTCTCGATGATGATGATGATGAGCCAACAATCAAATCTAGCAAAAGGGTCACCCAAGCTCCTATTAGTCTGGCCCAGAAGGACGACAACATACCTGTGAGGATTGAACCAGAGACCTGTGATAACACATCTCCTGACATACAATCCAAACAAGCGAAACGAGCGCAGCTTAAGACCTTAGCTGAAGACGGTACTCAGAAGCGCATGAAGCTCGATATGTTGTCTATGGCTCTGCATACTCAACCTCTGTAAATAAAATTTTTACCAATCAATTGGAGTCCGAAATTGATGTTTTATTCTTCTTTTTGCAATTACTCTCACTAGCTCCCTCTCTTCTCATGGAAAAAGATTTCGAAGTATATAACTACAACAATCTAAAATATGGTCAGATTCAAGAGTATTTTCTTCAACACTAGAATGTCCATTAAAAAAAACTGAACTCCCGGATATCAAGGATGTAAATTATACAAAAGATGGTTTGATACTATTTTTCTTTCCTTGTTTTATTGTTGAATGGAAATTGAATGCAATCATCTGGTATATTTTTCTTCAAGAATCATCAGATTGTTTTCAAGAATCCATGATCAGTGTATCAGCCAGATTAATTTCTTGAATGGAAGGAGTCATTTTCAGTTGATCTTTTGATTCTTGGAAATAGATTACCTATATGATAATAAATATACCTTATTGGGTGCACTTTTCAATTACACATGCACTTAATTTCACAAAAATCCATGCGTGAGATCTTGGTTTGATCAGTTCTCAGCTTTCATCAAGACCTGATGCTCACAGGTCAATAACCATTCTACAGTCAAATCTCGATGTAAGCATCTAGTATGTATGGATATCACGCTGAAAATTGTGCGCCGATTTTTGCTCCCACCAGCTAAAGTGCCTCGCGATGTATGCATATCACCTTATAAGCAAGAGAAAATCTGTGCCAATCTCTATGCTTACATCGAGGGTTGACTGTAAGTTGGTGTACGCTTGGAGGAATTCCCATTGGGTGGCCAAGTGCTAGTATACGTCATGACTAGCCTCTCTGTGTGGTACAGAAAGGTATGATTCAGTTGTGGTTATTGAGCATGGTATTACAAGGGGACATAAGACTCCCTTATTGAATTCAATCTAAGACTATGGGTACATATCTCATACCTCACAGAACAAAAAAGCCAACATGGTTTTGTTCTTGTTTTTTAATCAAAGATATCATGGTTTTTGAACTTCATTCAGCGTGTTTGTTTTGGTGTTATCTTTGTTAACGCTTGTTGAGCTAAAGATGCAACAAAAACAGTAATTTGTGTCTACTTCTGATAATGTTGATTTTTCAGTTTGTTTCTCTCAAAAAATCATTTCACATAGAGTGTTTGCTTGTGGATACTTAATTCTTTGGAATGACAATTGGGGTGGGCTCTTTGAGCATCAGGCATGCCATAGACTCCTTGCGTTTGCCTTGATCTGCCCATTCCAGATGTGATACCATTAATCCTGGTGCTCCCATGTTGTTGATGTTACTTGACAGGTTAGATAACAATGAAGAAGATGGGTAATTTCAACTCATTGGCAGTGCCTGATAAAGAGAAGGGGAATAAAAGGATCATGTATGGGATAGATGTGGAATTGGTGTGTGCACATTGACTTACCAGCTGCAGATTTGTGTTGTTTTTGAAGCATAAATGGTGGACTAGACCAACAAATACAGGGATAAGTAGGTAAGAGACAAATCCACAGTGATTGTGAAATATTAGAAGATCCTAAATAAGAAAGAGATTGTTTAAGTGTGGTTTTTGTAGGTCAGCCAAGTGTGATCACTCCAAAAATATGAAGTGAAACTTACAATGCTCTTTGCACCCTTCATTAGATGACCAAGTGATGTGGTCAAGTCCTCAGATAGGTACTTGTGGTGGGGGAACAGGAAGATAAGTATTCAATGATAGGGTTGAACACATATTCTAGCTGGATGTATTGCAAGGTGATATGAAACCATGAAGAGAGGATCAGATTCTGAACCAACATAAAGACAGCTGATGTATTTGGTCTACAAGATCAATGACTAAATCCTGTAAGAAAGCTGACTGGGAAACAAAGCATTCATTTCCAATGAGAATTCATTGAGAGCCCAAGTTGGAGGTTTGGAACTTGTGGTTGCAAGGCTCAAGAGATAATGACAAATGCACAGTCATAGGCTCACCACCTGATTGGATGTGGTTTTCAATCACACTGGTTTCTTCATCTTGTGATCAACTTCAAGGAACTGGAGTGGGACCAGAATACTCACCACTTCAACATGTGTCAGGTTAGCAATTAAAATGTGGCTTGAGCCTAAATGCAAACTTAGCATGCACAGGTGATTTTCAAGGTAAGTTTCACACCACATATCAAACTGGGCCATGCTGGCTGCATAAGACCAGCTGGTACCAAATTTTCACATGCAATGTCTGTCAATGCAGATTTAGACAGGGAATGAAGAACACACAAGATTATCATCTGAAAATTAAAGAGTTGTGGACAAAGTAGACTACCTCATCAGACTGAAAATCAAGTAGCACAAGCTGAATAAATCCAACTGTTTGTCAAGATAGGAGTGAGACCATCAATGATATTTCACGATATTTATATCTTACTCAAAATTGTTGGTATGTACCTGTGTGATAAAATATCTTTCTCTTTGATAGAATCAAGAGTACCTAAAGAGACTGACATGTCATCCTAATGACCAATCATAAGAGATGAGTTCAAGTACATTCTTTTAGCTTTGATCCACCTTGATCTGCGTGTGAAGTCAAATTTGGGTACTCATATCAAAAAACCTAATCCAATAAAGTGCTTGAGACAAACCTATACACATGGTAGATATGAGGACTGTGTTGGTTAAACACAAAAACATTTGAAGTCCAAGGTGAATATCTGCATCTTTTGAACCAAGAAGCTTGACATCAGACAACATGACAAGGTGAGTGAAGTTGCCTGTGAATGTTGCAGGTCATGAGCCATGGCCTGATATGAATTGAATTTGGAAGTCAGGCTGACTACAAATTTTAGCATTTGAGTCACTATAGGTTCAGACATTGAAAATGAAGGAAGATGATCATTGAAGTTCAAAAAAGACAAAGTAATCAAAATTCAATATATGAACCAAAGCTCATGTATTGTACTCATGTGGAGGGAGTCCTTCGTAATGAGCAATAAATTTAGGGGATACAAAGTTAAAACTGGGAGTTTTTTACGATGGACCAGAGAGGAGGGTGGAGGACAAACCTCAAACCCCAAACCTCAAACCCGGATACAGACTGTACAGAATACACAACTCCCTGACCCCCCCTCATCATGATTTCCAATGAACTCGTTCGAGGCTTCAGACTCTTCAGACAGACACTCCTGATTGTCATCATCATCCCAACCTCATGAAAGCTTAACAGATCAGCTAATTAGAAGCTAGGAGACCTGTTGTAGTTATCACTTGCTCACTCTATTTCTCATCATCTTTCTTTGACTCTATATGTTCAACAAAGTAAACTAGAAGTATGGATAATGATACATGATAATACTTGTTGCTATTGACCCCCACAAGTTCCTTTGCATTTGTGGACGGGCCATCTACATGGAGATTATTGCACAGACCGTCTTGTTCAATCTCGAGTCCAAATCTCCACAGTGTTATCCACTGGGATCTTGTTTCCTGCTCCACTAGCTTTTCTTGTTAGCTTTTCTCACTATCTTGATTGATCATTGTTGTTTTATTCTTCATGATGATACCCAATCCCAATCTCGATTCACCTCTATGTTGTTGTTGTGGTGAAGATTACCCAGGTCGAGAGAGAACTCAAGCAATCTGTGACCCATGTCAATGGAGCAAGGATAACCCAAACAAAGTCAACAAGCCCAATTTGAGGTCCTCAAGACTCAGTTGTGTGGTCGATGCAAAAAATGTCCAAAGGCAGTTGAACTTATTAATCCCTCTCAATCGACTAATCCACTGATCAAATCACCAGGCAAAATGTCATCGTCAAATTCGATTCCTTTTGGTTCTTGACCTGTCTTTCTCTCGCCATTGCAAACATCTGTTACTTCAAACGCTCAATTTCCAATACTCTCGAGTTCTCGTTCTTCACGTCCCTCAAGCTCCCACTTATCAGTACCTCTTAATTCGGCTACACCTGCATCAGCTCATTTTGGAACGCAAGTTGAGCATAGTGTTCAAAGAGCAATCGCACAGGCTAATGAACTTCAATCTCGCCAACGTCAACTGCAAATCAACAATCATCGAAAACCAGTGGTTCCATATCCCCCCAGCTCTGAAGCTAGAGCAATTGCAAGATCCAAGTTGAACAAACGATCAGAATCAAAGAAATCAAAAACAACTGGATTTATAAAGATCAATATTGCTTATATTATGGACAATGAACTTGTTGAAACTCAATTGAGTGGTTCTACGTTTGATTACGATTTCTCAGAGCCGGATTGGATGCTTGATTTGACCAAAAAGGCCTGTGATTACTTTAGAGACGATCATCCAACTTTTCCCTCACCTCAACAAGTAGTTGAGCATGGACTTGAAAGCCTACCACCTTATTATAAAGAATGGTACTACCTGGGTGAATTAGGCGGACGTAACTCATTACCTAATAGAATTACTGAAAATTACCTTTGTTCCAAGTTAACTTCTGGGCGTGGTTGTGAGAAGTTTGTTTTAATTTACAATTCACATCAATATAAGACAGCAACGGGAAAGGAAAATATTGAAGATGATGAAGATGAGTTGCTAGACTTGCCACCTGCCCCTTTTGATCATCCACAAAGCATGACGCTACGTTCACATTCTGTGAAAAGTGAGTTCTTCAAGTTCAATCTCCAAAGCCTATCTTGATCATCATTATCTGATTTCCATCTCTACATATAGAAAACAGAGTCCGTAAGTCTTCAGTTCATCTTTCTTCCGATTCAGAGGCTTCAGAAGCTTTGCATGGATCAATCAACTCAAACTCGATTGATGACCATGGTGAGCAAAGTCTTTTCAAAATTGTCTATTTGTGAATTCTCTAACCACATGTCTTGGTTTTGATTTTAAGACTATACACCTCGTCCAACAAGAGCCTTGAATGTAAAACGTCCTAACTCAAACATGCAATCTATCGAGACTCAGACATCACCTCCGAGTGTACAATCAAAAGCAACTCAGACCTCCAACCAAGTCATTGACGAGCGTGTTGATATTTCAAGAGTCATTGATGTTGCTGAGCGTGTTGATATTTCGAGTTGTGTACCACTTCATCAAGTCATGAACAAGCTTGTTGATGATCATCGTGAGTTATACTTTGAACCCAAATACCTCTCAAACACACAGTTGGATTGACTTTGATCATCAAAATCTAGCTGGTGGCGAAGTCGGATTTTCCGACTTAGGAATCATGCGATCGCTCGGCAGAGGAACTCTCCCTATTGTCACTAAGGCTCGGAACCGTTTAAGTCCTAGCTGGAAATCAGGTTCAATGCTTACAATCATTACGAAGGGTTTGGACTCGAATAATATCAATCGACTTGCAATCGAGCGGCTTGCCTTTGAAAATTCAGAGGTAGTTTATTCCGTCAATTGTTCTGCTTTCATTGGGTCCGGGGCTTTCATGAATTGCTATGAAGAAAAGGTCCTAATTGATGGCCGAGCTCAGGAGATGGTTGCCAAGCAAGATTTGGATGCAAACATGACTCTTGAAAGCTATCAAGCTTTGGCTCAGCGCTATCTTGAAGCAGAACGAAGCATCAATATGTTTAAGATGGCAATTGAGGCCAACTCGGGCAATATTCCATATGATGTACGCGAACATTGTAATAAAATACGAGTGAGTTTATTAAGGGTACACAAACATTACAACCCATTTGAAAAACCCATTTGAGAAAAAATAGAAAAACCCATTTAAAAAATTATTTTTTTGAACAGAAAAATAAATTGGGTCCCTCTGGAATTTTCTGTTCAAAAAAATATTTTTTTGAATGGGTTTTTATATTTTTTCTTAAATGGGTTTTTCAAATGGGTTGTAATGTTTGTGTACCCTTATTGTTTTTGTGGAACTATCTGAATCAGTTGATTAGATTGATCTCCTTTGTTAAGCTTGTGAAGAATTTTATTGTACATCGAGGACACACAGATGATCCTGCTCCAAAGGACATATATTTATTTGAGGAGAAGATCGAAGGGAAATTTGTCAAATTCTTTGGTAATCTATTCTTTAATATTGAGGAGGAAAAGGAAAACAAGATTATCTATCAAATTATGCACACACTATCACACAAAACATATCATGACAATCATGGTAGATGGATGATTGCAGACCTTCAAGGGAATGAAGAGGGTCTTCTCACGGATGTTGCAATTATTGATGAAGAGTATGTGTTATTTTGAATCATGATGTTCTTGTTGTGTTATCCTCTAACTATGACTTTGATAGATATCCGTGGACCATGGGAAACACTAGTCGGATTGGCCTAATTGGTTTTCGTCTCACGGCTAAATGTAACTTTTTGTGTAGCAAGCTTGGCCTCCCACATCCTCACGGTGCTAGATACCCCACGGTTGTAAATGGTGTGGTAGTAGAAGGTACTGAGAGTGAGTTCCCTGTGCTTGACTCTGATGCTGAGCGCTCATGGGAATTGGTGTGTGGTGTCCATACTATTTCTACATAAAATCCCATATGTGATCCTTTCTTTGTTTTCAATCAAATAATTTGAAATCAATTTCAATCCAATTCTTATATCTATCATTTTGAAAAAGCACTACAATATTGATCTATACAAACTAAAAAGTTATAAAGAACTATAGTCACTAAGCCAAAAGAGTTATAAAAAATTGGAATCAATATTAGATATTTGTTTTCTAAACCAGAAATTGAAATTTACTACTATTAACTCATAAAGTAAATCCAATATTCCATGCTGCATTCAAACAAAGACTGAGAATGAGCGCTGATTGATCAGAGAGAAAAGATCAATACAAAGCAATCTCCATCAGTAAGTCCCAAATTTCAAACTTGATATTCTGCATCACCAGCAACTCTGAACCTGTCATCCCTGTTGTACTCTTCATATTCCCCATCAGAATTCAACATCCCTTCAGGGAATTCATCTAAATCTATATTCATATATGTAATTATTTCCAGGACTGCTGTAAATACTGCCCATACATTGTTTAGAGTGATCTTGGATTCAATAAAACCTAGCTCTTGGATTATGTTTGAGACTGTGGAAGCAAATATGGGGGGAGTGATTTGAAATAAAGTCTCTTCATCAGGGTAATAATGAGCTATCATATTTTGTACGAAATCTTTAGGAACTTCAAGGCCCCCTTCAGTTCCATCATACTGTTCAGGGGCATAATGGCAGACTTCAGGTGAAACCCCTGTAGGAACAAGAGAATGCTTTTGTTTTGCAATGCGGTTGAAGTTACGTTCCAGGATGAAGGAGTCCAATATTCTCTGAACAAGCCTTATAAACAAATGTAAGAACAAAGCCCTATAGAGACAATAAAAATTATAATGAATATCATGAGTTAAGTTAAGATATTTGCAAGGAAACTTTACATACTTCTGAATAGGTTGTTTAGGGTCATATATCCCTTCAAACATTGCATTTATGATGAAGTCATGGATGGTTATGTTTTTTTGTATCATCAATTGTCCCCATAATTGTTCAATTCATTGATTGTGCTGTGATGTTGTGAATCGGTGTCTTTTTTCTGCTTCTTCCCAATCTAATCCACCAATGATATGAAGAAAAGTGATTTGGAAAGTTGCGATGTCACCGGTTTCTGATCCTTTGTCAGTAGTCACCTTTTGAGGACAAACTCCCATAGCTTCAACTGTTCGTAAGAATTGAACACCAATTCTTCGAGGATCATTATTGTTTGTTGCCACATGTAGTTTCAAAACTTTTCGACTCCATGAATCAATAGCACCATAAATACATATGCCAAAAGGCTTCAACTTGTCGTGACCATCCATAGACCAAACAAAATTAGGACCAGGAACATCATACAAACGGCGGTGTAGTTTACGTCGGTGTCTTTCTTCAAGGCCTTCTGGATATAGTTCTCTCATCATAGAATGAATCGTGTTGCGGTTAATCTTAAGACCATGATCTATTGCAAACCCTTTCTGCATTGATCTGATACCAGCTGTTGCACGGGATCCTTCTACCTCCAATAACATTTGATCTTTAACTTCTTGCACAGATGTTAACCCTAATCTAATATCATCTTTTCGCCAATTCAACCCCATCTCTTGACATAATGTTTTAAGTTTGTTGGCGGTAAACTCAGGTATATTACACACACGCTGAATGTAACTAACTACTTCTTTTTTTTGTAGGCCACGGGTATGACAAAGTTTAATTTGGCCAATGATTTCTGCCTTTTTTTCGTCTGTGTATTGCACGTGTTGGTAGGTATGTAAGTTCAGCTTGGTAAGGCGATACTTTAGTTGCCTTGGGGTCCAATCGATGTCGTGCTTGTTTTTCAAAAGTTGAAGTAAGTCAGGTAACGAGGTTTTGGTTTCACATGCTTCTCGGAGTATTGTGTTGATGTCAAAGACTTGGTCTGCTGGTCCGATTTGATCAAAGTTGGGTAGAGCAGGTGCGAGATTTTGATTTAAGTTGTCCATCGTGTAAGAACTGGCAATGTGGTGGGGAATTTTTGCTCGACTTTGAGGGAGAAGAGGAATGGAAGAGGAGATTGCACCGCTTGGGGGAAAAGTACATCCATGCAAATGGAAAATGTGAGACATGTTCCGCTACCATTTTGATCCCTTGTCTCATGCCAGTCATGTTTAATGGTGAGTTTGATTTATGAGTGACAAGTGCTAATGGTGAGGGTGGGTATGGGCTCTACAAAGCGGTGCAAACATGTTTGTTGAGGTTAATCTACAACTGAATATGCTCCATCATAACTTGTAAACAGACTTGAGTGCTTTTGGGCAAGACAGCGAAAAGCTGTTAAAATCACTCAACTGCTTTTGATAATCAAAGAAGACTTTTACAAATCGTTAACAATTGGTTAACTATATCAGTGAACAGATGCCTCATGTCGAAGTTCATCAAGGAAAACAAAATAATGATTTGAATGCGATTTAATATTTCTTTACGGCGGATTAATGGTACGATGATGAGAAATTGAATAGTGAGGAAACTCGAACAACGTGAAAATGAAAACAGGACTATGAAGACGACAGAAAGTATGTGAAAAGGGTTTTTATGTAGTAAATTTTGTACAAAAGGTGCTGAGCCATCTGGGATATATCAGGACCAGTCGTCAAATCAAACAAAGATAGAAAGACTTATAACCAAGCGTATTTGAAACTCTGTCGATTGTGTTAATATGTATGCAATTACTGCCTTGCCTCTAGCTTCTGAGTTATGCGTCGAGATGATCTCAAGATCCGAAGCAGACAGGCAAAGCAGTTTGCATGCATATTAAAACAATCTTCAAAGCAACAAATAGGCTTCAATGCTTTTGAAGCAAATGAAAATGAATCGATTGTTAAAAGGAGAGATGGAAAAATTCAATGTATAGAGCAGAGGAAACAATTGGGGAAAAGGCTGTTCATGAATCAGATATCAGGCATCAATACATATTAGAAAAGAGATGGGATAGCTCAACTGGTCGATGTGTTTGAGTCCACCGAGTCCAGCCGGTTTTTTTGTTTGAACAGGACCCTCGTGAATGAAAACGATTCAAATTAAAGCCCCTGGTTTTGATTTTATTGGCTGAAACGGGCATCACCATCGCGATTCCAAGACCACTGGTGTCATAGAATCTCAAAGGTTGCTTCTGTATCAATCCTGATCCTGAGACCTGAGACCTAGCACAAAATGAAATGACAAATTACCCTGAGCCCAAAATCCAGCAGTTAAGAAAGTCCAAAACCTACCTGCAATTGTTGAGTACCATCTCGGATGTCCTATAAATCGATCGCGTCTGATTGAAATGTGATCCCAGGACCCAAATGAACATCCTTTAGCGAGGTTGGGATTGTGAGCTGAGTTTAGTAAGAGAAAGTACGAACGAAGTTGATCCTAGTTGATCGATTTTGGGTTGTGTATTACAGTCGGTTCTCGATGTAAGCATATTGATGGTTGACAGAAACCCCTTGCATATATCGCGCGATGCATACTCGCGAAATAGACATAATATGCTTATTTTTCCCAAAAACAAGGCATCGATGTCTATATGCCGATTTCCTCACAAGATAAGTATATTTTTTGATTTCTTTGCTCGAAAATAGAGGGATCATTGGGCTAATTACAACGGATTGAAAAACAAATGTGATTTGCTGAAAAAACTGTTGATGAGAAGCCACAATTGCCTTGAATGAGATCATAAAGAGCAAGAAAAAAGGGGATGATTACACTAGAACGGGAAAGAAAGCATAAGTATTAAGACAAAACATGAAAGTCAAAAGTACATACCAGATGATTTAAAAAAACCATTGAGACTAGTTTGCTTGAGTGATGAGACTTGAACATGGCTGAGATCCAACAGTTTTGTGAAAGGAGAAGCACATCACTGATAAGTTCAGATATTGAAGACATGGTGGGTGAGGCTGGGCGTGTGGATATGTAGCAAAAAAAAATTGTTGCGGAAAGTCTCACAACAGACAGAAGTGGGCTTCTGTCAGCTTGATTTAAGCATATTATGCTTCCGCAGCCCAGAATTTCAAATATATGCTCATATGCAGTATAATTAGCTCTTTTTGTAAGCATAATTCACGAATTTTGATGTTTTTTTATGTTTTAAGCATTATGCATCAAGGGTTTTGGTTTTGGCAGGGAGCACACGTATACCAAAAAAAATCCCCCAAAATCCTATGCTTGTAGCGAGATATGCTTATTTCGAACTTGCTTACATCAAGAACCGACTGTAAGCTGTACAGTCTGTACAGTCTGTATCCGGGTTTGAGGTTTGGGGTTTGAGGTTTGTCCTCCACCCTCCTCTCTGGTCCATCGTAGTTTTTTCCCAGTTTCCCAGTTTCCAAATACAGCCAAAAACGCAAACTGGGAAACTGGGAGAACGTGGGAAAGTTCCAAACACAGCCAAAAACAAAAACTGGGAAACTGGGAAAAAAAACCCAGTTTTAACTTTGTATCCCCTACCTTGAAGTCACTGGAGCTCCTGAGACCAAGAGGTGCTACATAGCATGCTCATGATCCAAACTATACCCAGTCTCTCTAAGTCTGACAATCAAACCTGCCTTTGACTCCTTGTATATATTCAATCTGTTCCGCCCATTGTTGTTGTGATATTATCAATCTTGGTGCCCCCTGTTATCGACTGGATGGCGCGTATCACATGAACAACAGTGGGAATTTGAGCACTAATGCATAGCTGGACAAATGGAAGACGAAGAAAATAATCATGTGATAACTACAAAGCTCCACTGGATTGTGATGGTGGAGTGATCCTGCAGTCACGTGATGGTGGGATGGTGTAGCTGTACTAAATCAAATGAACCCCTCGTCGCGTTTGAAGGTTGACCATTCTCATAAAGCTGAGCCTCAACTAGAACTCAGTCTCAATCTATCAATCTCTTCAACTCACATCATCATTTCATCAAATCTGACCAATTGACCTCAAAGAAATCTCATCATGCCAAAAGCCGACGGAATTCAAGCAAACCTCGTCTGCAATGGAATGTCATTAAATGAATACCCTACCGCCTCGTCCGCGCCCAACACCGTGTTCTGCGAATCAACGCCGGGTCAAGCTTTCGAGGTTGTGTACACTGGACCAAGGACACCTTCGGATTGTATAGTTAAGCTACTCTGCGATGGTGTCCGCGTGAAGGGCACTGCATTCCGTCGCCATGAAAATCTCTCTCAAACTATTCGTGGTATCTATTCGCCTACCGACGATACAAAACTTATGCCCTTCAAATTTACGAATATTGAGCTTTGCGAAGAAGATGATAGTCATCCAGAACAAATTGTTAAAAACCTAGGCACTGTATCATTAGAATTTTTCCATTGCATCTTGGGTCGAAGCAAAAAAGGGGGTAAAGACCCTGTTCAATCACTCGCATCCAACTCCAAATTCTCGGAACGGAACAAGAAAGCTAGCATGATTCCGCATACTATCAGGTTGGTTTTTCTGATCGCTCGCGCTTGTGATTCAAACGAGCAGTCAGCTGTCCTGTTTGCTGACTGTGCTTTTGATTATAGCCTCGGTGAATCGATAACTGTGCCAAAACGATCGGTAAAAAGTTCTACTCACAAGCAGATGGATGAAAAACCCTATCTGCGATTTGTATGGCAGTACAGGTCTCGTGGTAAGCTTGAATCACCAACTGGCTGTTCTTTGATCCCTTATGATTCTTGACTGGAGTTGACAAACTGATTGTTTCTATCTACTTCGATTCATTAGGCATGTTGATCACTGCTGGCGTGATTCCGCGACCCATCAGCCCGCTCCCAGATGTCGGACCACCAAATCCCTCAGTCACTCTTGAAGATAGCGAATCAAGCCTAGTACAGGTACCGGAACCACGCGTGAAGGAGCGCAAACCATCAATTTGTGTCAACAGAGGTGGTGACATCATAACTGGACCTTCGACTCGCCAGGACACCAAGCCTAACATCAAGCCGAAGACAAGCAGTGGCAAATCGGTGGTCATCGATCTGTGTGATGATGATAATCAACCAATTGTACAACCAATTGCAACCTGCTCCAGTCTCGAAAACCCTATCATTCTCGATGATGACACTGATGACGAGCAGATAACTCAAGCATCGGAAAAAGTCATCCAAGCTAGTGGCAGTTTAGCTCAGCAAGTCGATATCAAACCTGTGAAGACCGAGTTGGAGACTCAAGCAGCCACAGCACCTGGTGACCAACCCAACCCAACAAAACGAGCCCAGGATGCGACTGAAGTGGAAGGACGCGATCAGAAGCGCATGAAAGTTGATATGACATCTATCACTCTGGATGCTTGAACAATGTAAGTCTTCAAGTCTTCCGTTACTCATCAGGCTCTGATATCGATATTGTCTTGATCTTGTTCTCATGGCTCTCATTAGGTCTACTTTCCACTTATGGATATCAAATCCTAGAAACCAAGATGTTTCAAAATCATCTCAGATGCAAAACAAAAAATTGGCTTTCATCAGAATTGCGACCTTTACAAATAAACGTGTCTTGTCATCTGATGTTGTCTTGAATTGAACATTTTTTGTTTCAATGATTGATTCCCAATTGCAACACCAATCTCTCTTACAAACTGATTCTTTCAAAAGCTGTTTCAAACAGTGCACATCCACACCCTCCAATCCATCCTAGATCTCAAGAATCTAAAATATATGCAAAAAAATCCATTTCATAAGTATTGCTTTACCCTGAATTTGTACCCCAATGTTGTGACTGTTTTATTCAATGTACCTATGTTTTTGTCTTCTTTCCTCATGTTTACTTGTTGTATTAAACCAATATCTCTTCTAAATTCTTATCATTTAAATTTCAGATTCATGCATCTTTTTTTGATCTTTTCTGCAACTGTTGTATGTGGCAAAGTTTTTTAATAGTAACAATTCACTTCTACAATTTTTTTTGATACACAATTGAAGGATTTTGATCTGATTATCTAAGCTTGAGTAAGATTCTGTGCATCATTAGCCTTTCTTTTCTCAAATGTATGATGAGTTTTATGATGACAACAAGATCTTCTGACATAGATAGCTAATGGAAATATATACATACTCATTAAATCACATTTGGCTTGTTTCTTTGATGCTCTGAGAGTGTTTGACATTTCATTTTTGAATCAAAGATGGGATGAAAGATGAAATGTATTCAGTTTTTGATCTTGACATTGACAATGTCGAGTTTCCATTTTTGTCATTCTCTTTTGATAAGTCAGGAGTGTTTGTGGGCAAGTGATTTATTGGAGTGGCAGTTGAGGTGGTGCATGTGATATTTGACCAACATATCTGTCATTGACTCTTTGAATTCAACTGCTACTGCTCATTTTTCTTTTCTCTTTCTCTCAGTTTGTCTCTATGTGCTTGTTTGTCATGTGGGGAATGTGCCAGGGACAGCAGAGAGATGGATCAGAGGCTTAGGAGAAGTGGAGTATTCTTTCTCTAACTTTCCACCTAGACTAAAAGATGTCTTTACAGACCTACGCGGACATCACCCCGGCGCCTAAGAGTGTCTCACCCAGCACTCTGGTGGTTAGAGTCTCAGATTCCGTGAAACCTTGGCCAAAGTTCAATTTCAAAGCCTCCCTGCTTACATAGCTCCAACCCAAATGTTTCTCTTTTGAATTCTCTTTCTTTCTTTCAAATCTCACATCACACAGAGCCCGGACTTCCATGTACCCAAACACCGCCATGCAGCTGCCAACCCATTGTTTTTCTCACTTACCATAGTTTTCTACAGTGTTTTTATACCCTAGGGTCAGGCTTTGCACTATAAATACATTCAATTAGAAAAAAGCTTAAGCAAAGGGGATGACACCAATTATGGGTCAAGCTGAGCCCCAAAACCAACATCCCTTGCGTTACCCAAAAACCAACCCGCCGGGCACGGTTTTGGTTGGGCCTTTTGGCCCCCTGATACATTGGTTAACCCAATGGTTTTGGGAGCGGGGGGGTTTCTAGAAAGTACCCAACCCGTGGGTAACCGGCAGTTTTTGAGCAAACACATTGATTTCAAACCGGTAGGAAAGAGTAGAACAAAACAACAGTAAACCAGTAACAAAAGTGGTGAAAAAGAAAGAATAAAAAAATAAAAGTAAAAAAACAAAAAAATTATGATAAAAATTGAGTTATGAATCTCAATAATCATTGATTACAATATGATTGTTGGTTGAGTTAAGTTTATGAGGGAAATACATAGGCCCAAATAGGCAAAACCACTCCTTGAGGCACAAAAGAATCTCTACATTTGCAGGAGATAGAGAAGCTCGTTGAGGTCCTATAATACAATTTATCTTACTAAAGGCTCCCTCAGATGGAGTGCTAGTAGCAGGAATGGCCAGGTACATCTTTGACATCTTGGCAAGTACTGGCAGGGTGTCCTCTTTCCCTTTCCAAAACAATAATACATCCCCCCAATGACGATCACAATCACCCAAATAGCAATGAATTTCACTTTTGATAGTGTTGTATATGGTTGGTTCATTGCTTCCGTAGATGGCTTCAGCAAATCAATTTGGTTTTGGCTTTGTTTTCTTGACTTTGGAGCTTGGAGGAACAGAGGCAAATGTGGATGCTATATTGATGAACTGTTGCTTGAAGTCGTCGGGAGTCATGCTGTAGTTCATAAAGAAGTCTGCTTGATCCTAGATAAAATTATCTTTGTCAATAATTATCACTAATTGTTGATAAGTAGAGAATTGCTTACCTCAAAAAACTTCATCTTCAGGCCAGGGTTTAGAATCATTCACAGTGTCCTTTTACTACTCACTGGGAGTACGTCCACCTCAATCCAATCTCAATCCAATCTCAAATCCATGTCAGTTCAATATCAATCCAATCTCAATGTTTGGCCTAGATTAACAGACAAACAACCTTCCAGAATGAACTGGAATAAAGTTTGGTTGCATGTCCACACATGAAGCTGTCAGAATTTCTGGAAGGTTTGAGTGATTATGCAGCCCATGCATATCCCCCACTCAAACATAATTGGAGGTCAAACTGATATTGAACTGACATTCAATTGAGATTGGATTGAGGTGAATGGAAATCACTGGCCGCCAGTGACTAGTAAAATGACACTGTGATTGCACAAACGGGTGCTGGTTTTTTTAGTACTTGTTTGAAGTACTCTTCCAGCTTAGTCAGCATATCCTTGGCAGCTGGTATAAGCTGAGTGTGGTCATACTTTTCCTTGAACCAAAGTAAGAGACGTTGGAAAATCAATATGATATCACTTGGAGAGAAATGAAGACTGAGAAGAGAAATGAATAGTTGAGATATTGTAACTTCATCAAACCATCAATGATAACTGTATAAATAGGAATTACTTCATGCATTGTAGGTTATTGTCTTTGAAATAATATATTGGTAGCCTCACTGAGAGGCTCAAGGAAGTTTCACATTTGCTGAACGTAGCCCCACTCTAACTGGGACAATGCAAACTTGTGGCCTTCTTGCCGTTCACAAAACTTCATGCAGGCTTCTTTCAACCAAAGGGCACATTTAAGCATTAGGTATGACAAGTTCCATTGGGTTGGAACATCAATCATCAACCTATTGGCTCAACCAGCTGAGGTCAAAGTTTGAGATTGATGATTGACTTCTTCATCGGGGTTTGATGGTGTGCGGTAGTGGAAGAACTCGGCAGCATCTTTGTCTAGTTGTGCTTAGATATCTTCCTCGTCATCTTCATTTGCATCTTGTTTATCGTTTACATTTGGATCATGATTTCAATTCTTGTTTTCACCGTCATCTGAATCTGAATCTTGAAGTAGAGTTATCACCTTGGCAAAGTTCTGAATTTGTTGAGGTGTTGTTCAAGTGTACATTGCCAGACTGTGTATACAACCATAAATCATGTTGAGCTTGACAGAGGCGTTGTCAGGAGTGTGGAAGGCCTTGTTTTGCGGCTAAATTGATGACATGAGTGCAGCATCCCATGAGCTGATTCTTGGCAAAATTGATGTTGGTTTCTTAAGCAATTGACCAATATTGACATTCACACTGGCATTATTGGCAGTCATGCCTGATATCTTCAAGCCTAGATTGAATTCACAGATATAATTGCCGAGGATCTCAGCAAAGTTATCAGCATCATGGGCACCTAGATAGCAGAGACAGGATGGTTTGTTTAGTCAGAAACAATCTATTAAGAAAATGAAATATGAAAAACAACTTACCTTCAATATCAGGCATTCCAATAACAATGTCCATGAGCTTCCAATATTTAGTGATGAAGTGGCTAGTGATTCCCAAGAACCCGTGATGATTCACTGCCAGCATTAAAGAGGTTCCTTGATGGGAATCAGCACTAGGCTGGGAACATTTTTGAGAGTAGAATGGGTCATGAAGCCATCACGCAGTGGCCATCTGAGCAATAAAGTATATGTTACATATGTGCAAACATCTGAGTGAATACTTAGCTGTCATCTACATATAGCTCCGCTCAGTTACCTGCTCATCTGGTTGAGAAATTCACATGTAATATGTTCTGTAACTTTGTTATGATTGCAACAAACGGCGCAAAAGATTGACTACATATATCACCATGGCTACTGAGGAAATACTTATGAAGATATTTAGCAGTAACCAATGGGGAATTTGGTTCCTGGGACCCATATTCCCACCCAGGAATCTCTTTAATGCTGGCAGTGATTAGGCGAGGTCCACGCCTCTTGTGTGAAGGCTACATAGTCGCTTTGATTGAAATACTTGGACTGAATAAAGGTCATGTAGTGGTTATACACTTTGCTGCAGTGCTGAGCAATTGCATGTTGTTGCACAAGCATTCCAATAGTTTGAGTGTTGACAAGTAGAAGAAGGTATTTGAAAGAAGTTTGGTTGACTATGGCATAGGGGAGATTGCAATTGGATATGAAGTAGGTGAGCGCGGTCTTGAGAGTCTCCGCATTGAGAGTTTCCCATCAAGTACAAAGAGAAAGGAAACAAGGAAAGAAATGTTGGAAGATTGAGAAGGATGAATCAAATGAGTTGGAAGAGAGAATATTCAAGACTCACTGTCAGCCCTGAGTACTAAACCAGAGTACCAATGGGCGACGTATTATAATAAAAACCTTAAAAATAGCAATCACAACTCAAGGCTCAGTTTCAAGAGTCAAGTTACATATGATTTAGCATATGTAACATGTGCAGAACTTACATCACAGGGTTTTCCCGTCTTGGGGTCAATTACTCC